ATGCTCCTGGGTGAGTCCCGGAATTCCCGGATTCCCTGGGATCCGGGCGCACCATTCCCGAGTCGGCGGGAACGGGTTTTACTGGGAATTATTGGGGTTATATTGGATTTTAGTTATCCCGGGTGGGATTTTGGGTGTTGTGGAAAACATGATGCTCTCTGGGAGGCCGCTCATGCTCCTGGGTGAGTCCCGGAATTCCTGGATTCCCTGGGATCCAGGGGCACCATTCCCGAGTCGGTGGGAACGGGTTTTACTGGGAATTCTTGGATTTTGGTTGTCCCGGGTGCGATTTTGGGTGTCACATCTGGAATTGTGGGACACAGCTGGAATTGCGGGACACAGCTGGAATTTTGGGACACACATGGAACTGTGGGACACAGCTGGAATAGTGGGACACAGCTGGAACTGTGGGACACAACTGGAATTGCGGGACACAGTTGGAATTGTGGGACACAGCTGGAACTGTGGGACACAACTGGAATTGTGGGACACAGCTGGAATTGTGGAACACAACTGGAATTGCGGGACACAGTTGGAATTGCGGGACACAACTGGAACTGTGGGACACAGCTGGAATTGTGGGACACAGCTGGAATTGTGGGACACAGCTGGAATTTTGGGACAGCTGGAATTTTGGGACACAGCTGGAATTTTGGGACACAGCTGGAGTTGCGGGACACAGCTGGAATTGTAGGACACAGCTGGAATTTTGGGACACAACTGGAATTGTAGGACACAACTGGAATTTTGGGACACCCTTCTCCTTTTCCCGGCTGTTTTTTCCATGTTTTTTTTCCCGTTCCCTGTGTTTCAGCCACGGCTCTGAAGATGAACATGACGCTGCGGGAGCTTTACCTGGCCGACAACAAACTCAACGGGCTGCAGGACTCGGCCCAGCTCGGGAACCTCCTCAAGTTCAACTGCTCCATCCACATCCTCGACCTCCGGAACAACCACGTCCTCGACTCCGGTCAGGAATTCCCAGGGAATCCATTCCCAGCCCGGATTGAGGAGGGAGGAAGGGAGGGAGGGAATGGATTGGGAAGGGCAAAAAAAACCTGCTGGGTTTGGAAGGGAGGGTTGTTGGGTTGTTTTCCTGAGGGGTGGGAATGTGGGGTTGGATCCTTCCCAGTGGGATTTTAGTCCTTCCTGTTCCCTGGAGAGGCCAAATCCAACGTCAGCCACCCCTGGAATGGGGGAATGATCCCAACCTGGAGTGAAATCCCAGTGGGATTGTCTGGGAAGGGGAATGGGGTTGGATCTGTCCTGGAGGGATTTGAATCCTCCCTTTTCCCTGGAGAGGCCAAATCCAATGTCAGTTACTCCTGGAATGGGGGAATGATCCCAACCTGGAGCGACATCCCGGTGGGAATGGGCTGGGAAGGGGTTTGGAGCTGTGGAGGATCCTCCGCAACAACCACGTCCTCGACTCCGGTCAGGAATTCCCAGGGAATTCATTCCCAGCCCGGATTGAGGAGGGAGGAAGGGAGGGAAGAGGGAATGGATTGGGGAGGGGAAAAAAACCTGCTGGGTTTGGAAGGGTTGGGATTGGGTTGGGGTTGGGGTGTTTTCCTGATTCCGGGTGGGAATGTGGGGTTGGATGGATTTGAATCCTCCCTGTTCCCTGGAGAGGCCAAATCCACCCCTGGAATGGGGGAATGATCCCAACCTGGAGTGAAATCCCAGTGGGATTGTCTGGGAAGGGGTTTGGAGCAGAGGATCCATGTCCAGCCCCTCAATCCAGGCAGGAATGATCTGGGAAGGGGTTTGGAGCTGTGGAGGATCCATCTCCAGCCCCTCAATCCAGGCAGGAATGACCTGGGAATGTCCAAGAAATGGTGGAGGATCCATCTCCAGCCCCTCCCCATCCAACTCCCATCCGATCCCAACTTCCCAACATTCCCACTCCTCCTCCAGCTCCTTCCCAAGGGTTTCTTCCCTTCTCCAACGACTCCAATTAATTTTCCATCCCCACCACTAATTAATTTTCCCTCCCAAGAGGGCACAGGGAGGAGGAGCCGGGCTGGATTTTTGGGAATGTTGCCGGGGCTGATTCCCGTCGGATTCCCGATGGATTCCCGTCGGATTCCCGTTGCATTCCCTGATTCCCGGGCTGTGTTTTCCCAGGCCTGGCCTACATCTGCGAGGGGCTGAAGGAGCAGAGGAAGGGGCTGCTCACCCTGGTGCTGTGGAACAACCAACTCACCCACACCGGGATGGCCTATCTGGGAATGACCCTGGTGAGCATTCCCGGGATTTCCCGCTGCTCCCGGCGCTCCCGGGGCTGGGATCAGGGGAAAGGAGGGATGAGGAGGGTGGGACAACATTCTCGGGGGAACTCATCCCTTGTCGCCTTCCAGGGGTCGATCCCAGGATTGATCCCGCTAGTTTTCCCTCTGGATCCCCTTCCATGACTCCAGGGGTTAATCCAGGGGCTGATCCTGCTGTTTTCCCTTCTGGATCCCCTTCCATGGCTCCTGGAGTTAATCCCACTGGTTTTTCCTTTTGGATCCCCTTCCCTGGGTGGATCCCAGCACTGATCCCGCTGTTTTTCCCTCTGGATCCCCTTCCATGGCTCCAGGGATTGGTTTTCCCTTTGGATCCCCTTCCATGAGTCAATCCAGGGGTTGATCCCGCTGGTTTTCCCTCTGGATCCCCTTCTGTGGGTCAATCCCAGTGCTGATCCCACTGTTTTTCCCTCTGGATCCCCTTCCCTAGTGCAATCCCAGGGCTGATCCCACTGTTTTTCCCTCTGGATCCCCTTCCCTGGGTGGATCCCGGTGCTGATCCCACTGTTTTTCCCTCCGGATCCCCTTCCATGAGTCAATCCCGGTGCTGATCCCGCTGTTTTTCCCTCCGGATCCCCTTCCCTGGCTCAATCCCGGGGCTGATCCCACTGTTTTTCCCTCCGGATCCCCTTCCCTGGGTGGATCCCGGTGCTGATCCGGCTGTTTTTCCCTTTGGCTCCCTCAGCCCCACACGCAGAGCCTGGAGACGCTGAACCTGGGCCACAATCCCATCGGGAACGAGGGCGTGCGGAACCTGAAGAACGGCCTCATCGGGAACCGCTCCGTGCTCCGCCTCGGACTCGCCTCCACCAAGCTCACCTGCGAAGGTCAGCACGCAATTCCCGGGGGAAATGGAATTCCCGGGATTTGGGGCCGCCACGGGGGCACTCGGGGCACCGAGGAGCTGCCTCGGGCACGGAGAAGGTGGTTTGGGCTTGGAGAACCTGGTTTGGTCCAGGAGAACCTGGCTTGGTCCAGGAGAACCTGCCTTGGGCATGGAGGAACTGCCTTGGGCATGGAAAAGGTGGTTTGGTCCAGGAGAACCTGGTTTGGTCCAGGAGAACTTGGCTTATTCCTGGAAAAGGTGGTTTGGTCCTGGATAAGTTGGCTTAGTCCAGGAGAACCTGGTTTGGTCCAGCCTGGTTTAGTCCTGGAGAACCTGGTTTGGTCCTGGAGAAGGTGGTTTGGTCCAAGAGAACCTGGTTTGGTCCAGGAGAACCTGGTTTGGTCCTGGAGAACCTGGTTTGATCCAGGAGAACCTGGTTTTGTCCAGGAGAAGGTGGTTTGATCTAAGAGAACCTGATTTGATCCAGGAGAACCTGGTTTAGTCCAGGAGAACCTGGCTTGGTCCTGGAGAACCTGGTTTGGGCATGGAGAAGGTGGTTTGATCCAGGAGAACCTGGTTTGGTCCTGGAGAACCTGGTTTGGTCCAGGAGAACCTGGTTTAGTCCAGGAGAAGGTGGTTTGATCCGGGAGAACCTGATTTGATCCAGGAGAACCTGGTTTGGTCCAGGGGAACCTGGTTTGGTCCAGGAGAACCTGGTTTAGTCCTGGAGAAACTGTTGGAGAACCTGGTTTGGTCCAGGAGAACCTGCCTTGGTCCAGTGGTCCCATCACTGGGATCTCTCCCAAACCCCACCTGGAGCCTCCCAATGATGTTCTGGTGGTCCCCACTGGTGTCCTGGTGCTTCCCATTGGTGTCCCGGTGATCCCATCACTGGGATCTCTCCCAGACCTCACCCAGAACTCCCCATTGGTGTCCTGGTGGTCCCATCACCGGGATCTCTCCCAAACCCCACCCAGAGCCCCCC